TGGCCACCTAATGAGAAGGAAGGACTCCCTGGAGAAGAGTCTAATGCCGTCCCCTTCTTCTTTTGCCATCTATTGTTCCCAGCATTAGACTCTTCTCCAGGGAGTCCTTCCTTCTCATTAGGTGGCCAAAGTATTTGAGTTTCATCTTCAGGATCTGGCCTTCTAAAGAGCAGTCAGGGTTGATCTTCTCTAGGACTGACCGGTTTGATCACCTTGTGGTCCAAGGGACTCGCAGGAGTCTCCTCCAGCACCACAATTCAAAGGCCTCAATCCTTTGGCACTCAGCCTTCCTTATGGTCCAGCTTTCACAGCCATATATAGCAACTAGGAAAGCCATAGCCTTGACTATACGCACTTTTGTTGGCAGGGTGATGTCTCTGTTTTTTAGTATGCTGTCTAGATTTGCCATAGCTTTCCTCCCCAGGAGCAAGTGTCTTTTAATTTCTTGGCTGCAGTGATCTTGCAGCCCAGGAAAATAAAATCTGTCACTACCTCCATTTCTTCCCCATCTATTTGCCAGGAAGTGAAAGGACCAGATGCCATTATCTTAGTTTTCTTAATGTTGGGTTTCAAGCCAACTTTTGCACTCCCCTCCTTCACCCGCATCAAGAGGCTCTTTAGTTCCTCTTCACTTTCTGCCATTACAATGGTATCAACTACATATCTGAGGTTGTTGATATTTCTCCCAGCAATCTTAATTCCAATTGGTGATTCATCTAGCCCCGCCTTTCTCATTATGTGCTTTGCATATAAGTTAAATAGGCAGCGTGACGGTATACAGCCTTGCCAAACTCCTTTCTCAATTTTGAACCAGTCAGTGGTTCCGTGTCCAGTTCTCACGGTTGCTTCTTGACCCGCATATAGGTTTTTCAAGAGACAAATAAGATGGTCTGGTACTGCCATCTCTTTAAGAACTTGCCATAATTTGTTGTGAGCCACACAATCAAAGGCTTTAGCGTAGTCAATGAAGCAGAAGTACATGTTTTTTCTGGAACTCCCTAGCTTTCTCCATGATCCAGCATATGTTGGCAATTTGATCTCTAGTTCCTTTCCCTCTTTGAAATCCTGCCTATACTTCTGGAAGCTCTCGGTCCACATACTGCTGGAGACTAGCTTGTAGGATTCTGAGCATAACTTTGCTAGCATGTGAAATGAGTGCAATGGTGTGGTAGTTTGAACATTCTTTGGCATTGCCCTTCTTTGGGATGGGAATGTAAACTGACCTTTTCCAATCCTGTGGCCACTGCTGAGTTTTCCAAATTTGCTGGCATA